CACACACACACACACACACAGAGTGAAATAAAGTGAAAAGGAGGGCAGCACACCACAGTGCACAAGCACAACACGAGCCTTCGACTTGACTATGTTGTCAAGCAGCTGCTAATGTGTATTCAATATTGATGAACCTTGTTCTTTAGCCTCAGCTCTGAAACGTTTGCCCCACCCTGCGAGTTCAAAGGGACTGTCATTATTATGGTGCAATTCCAAGGAAGAAACGTAGAACATTTGGATACACTGCTTATTTTGGTTCATGTCTTATAAAGTATGATTTGAATTGTTTTTTAAAACACACTGGATTTTGCAATATTCTACTTCCTGGCCTCCTTTCAGATGAGCAAATATCAAATATCAAAATATCCAAAATACACATTACTCATATTCATTTTTTTCTACCTTTCTATTGGATGTTTGTACCAATTAGTACGTATTTAATGGTTATAATCTGCAAAACAATATTTTCCCTAGAAATCAACTGCAGAAAAGACCCGCAGTTGACCTTTTCTGGCCGTTAAAATTATCACTGACACTCAAGAAAATATTTATGCTCAAAATTCTGACTTTAAGTAATCTGATTACATGTAATCTTTTTAGGTATTTTTTTTTTTTTTTTACATATTTACAATGTGAAATGTTAAAGTACCAAGCATAATTTCTTTAACTAACAATAATTTGAATAAATAAACTTTTGAATTTCAGTTTTACTGACAATTATTGCAGCACATTTATCAGGGCAAACAAACATTATTTTTTTAGTGTAGTGTACAATATCCAAAAATTTGCTATTCAAATAAGTGCAATTGTTAAGGTAACGCCTTATTTACACATTTAAACAGTATTTCAGAAAAAATACTCACTGAAGAAAGGGTGACTTTTAATCACAGTAAGAAACTGTTCAGCAAAGCAGTACCCTGTTCTGCTTTGACAATGTTATAGTACTTTTCGGCATCATTCACATTTCTAACATAGTGCAGTTTAGGTGTTTTGTTAGCTTTCTTTATTGGAAAAAAAACCTCCCCAAAACAATTCGTACAAATTGTTTTCCTGAATTTTGCAGAAATTTGACCTCAGTTTCATTGTGTCTCTGAAATATTACACTCCAACAGTTTTCTGAACTCATGTCTTTACTTATTTATTGGCTTTGCCAAGGCAAACATGCCCAACATGGTGAGGCTGTTTATCTGTGAAAGAATACCTCAGATCGAGTCCTCATTGACTTTTTTTTTTGGCTTTACACCTTGTTAAACACTGATTCCTTCTTTCACATCCTAAGGCATGTTCTTTGATCCTTCCTCTTCCTACATTTTTGCTCTCTCTTCATGCTTCAGTCTGTTGTTTGTATTCTTCTAATTATTTGTTTAATTGTCTGCCTTCTTCCAGCATTTTGGAGTCCAGCCGCATCAAGCCAACTATCCTCC